TAGGGCTTTACCTACTAAACTAAACTTGTGGCAGTTTTTTGTTTGAATATTATTATTATATTAGGATATACATCCTGTTGATTTATCGCTAAATGTAACAAAATGTGTGTGTTTATATATGCATGTGAAATTCTTTGGTTTATCAAAGAATGTTTTTAAAATTACATACCACGCATGTACATAGGGCAAAACGTTCCCCAATGGCGTATTAACTCACAATTCCCATTTTTTTAAAAACGAAAAAAAAAACTATTTCTTCGAATAGGTACAAGTTATCATATCTGCAAGGGAGACTTTGCATCAGTTTTTTCAGTAATTTACAAAAAAGTTTTGCTTCAACTTTCTCTTGAAGAAAAGTATACGTACTTATTACGGTGCCCATCGAAAATGCGTTTTTTTGTAAACTTCAAAACAACAATTTTCTCTTAACTTTTTAAATTTTGACCATCGATAATTTCCATAATTTCAAAATATGTAGTATTATCTAAAAGTAAATCTATTTTTAAATAAACTGATAACTTATTTATTGCAATCGCATAAAAATTGTCGAAGTTAGGTGGCTTTTCTTAAACACGGCCTTAACTTTATATTGTGATTGTACCGGACTTTCAGATTTTTTTAACTGTGTGGCTAAGGAATTCATTAATATTTATTCAAAATAGATATATACAAACGTTCTTTAGCAAAAAATTGGTTTTTCCAAAAGTTTTAGGAAAATGGAGGTGGCACCGCCCATTTATGTCATATATGTGTATTTCGAAAACTACTTGACCGATTTTGACCAAATTTGGTATACACATTGTGCTTAGCCCCCTTAAGTTCCATGATGAATATTTTTGAAATCGGACAAAACCTATTCCCCCTAAAATATAGCTAGCTTTGATTTTGTTTTTCAAATTACCGGTCGTTTGTGGAGCCCGTGGTTTTTGTCCGATTTCAAAAATGTTCAATATGGCGCTTAAAAATCCTGGTCGAGATCAGTGAAGTAGTTTTTGAGATATACATACATATATATATAACATAAGTGGGCGGTGCCACACCCATTTTCCTAAAATTTTTGGAAAACCCAATTTTTTGCTAAAGAGCGATTCCATATATCAATTTTGAATAAATATTAATGAATTCCTTAGCCACAATGATCAAATAATCTGAAAGTCCGCTACATACACAATATAAATTCAAGGCCGTATTTAAAAAAAAACACCTCACTTCGACAATTTTTACGCGATTGCAACAAATGAGTTATCAGTTTATTTAAAAATAGATTTAATTTTAGATAGTACTACATATTTTGAAATTGTGGGAATTATCGATGGTCAAAATTTAAAAAGTTAAGAGAAATATGGTTTTTTTATTTTACCCGATAAAAAATCCTGACAAACCAAGTCCGACAATTGATTATTATATATATTATATTTTAAAGGCCTATATATCCTCTTCTCAGATCATATTAGATCTTTGAAATAGAATGAAAAATAGTCATTCAAAAACTCATAAATCTACAAAATCCTATTTTCTGACCTAAATCGACAGGTCGCGACCTCTAAATGACCTTTAAAAATTTATAAAAATAGGCAATCATATTTCACATAAAAACTAATATAATTAGGGGGTAGGGTCTTGAAAAAAGCATTTTCGATGGGCAGCCTAATAATTATGTATGTATATTAAGTGAACATGTTTTGTGTACCATGTCAAATTTTTTAACTAGTACACTTTTGAAGAACGTGTATGTCACGATGGGTACGATGCACTAGAACTTATGTATGTATGTAAATCCATACATATGTATGTATGTGCGTATGTATCTATTTAAAAGAAAATAAAAATGTATCTTTTTACATAAAGGTGCAAATGATCTTTATATGTATGCATATCTGTATGTTCATAAATCAGTGTGTAAATAATGGGTGTGAGTGTGTGCATTGTGCCGTTCGTGAATTAAGTAGTTCCTACATACATAAGAATGCATTTATGATAGGATATCTACATATATACTAGGGATGCTGCGAATGTGCAATTGTAGACATCCACGGATGCGAATGCCAAGTATTTTTAAGAAATAATTTAAGTAATTTAGGTAAATGAAAACCACTTGCTGGAGGCGATAAATGTCTGCATGCGAATCTTGGCAATGTTTTAAATTCGTTAAATTCGTTGATGCCCCACCAGTTGAGAGGACTTTCATTTATATTTATTCTCTCCATTTAAGGAATCTTGCACCATGAAAAGATTTGTCTTTAAACATCGCTTACCAGCCGAACCAGATGTTTCAGGTTTTCCTATACCTTTTTCCAAAGGATTTCTCATTCTCATTCTTTTGACTGTTTCGAAATTTTGTTAATCTGTAATGTTTGTACTTGTTTGAAAAATTTGTCCTTGTACCGAGGGTGTGAATGTGGACGCGAATGTTAAAATTAATGCGGAAGCTCCGCGTTTGCGAATGCGAATAACTGCAACATCCCTTCTACTACGTGCTTACATATGTACATACATACGTATGAATTATTTGCATAAACATGCTTTGAATGACTAAATTGTGTGCTTGACTCATTACAGTCTGCTACTCTGTGGAAAAGGTAATGTATGGTAATGTACAAATTCACGCATCACTTTATAAGCTACACAATACATCGTGCATGAATCTAAATACAGTCCATGTCCTGCGAATGTAATGTGTCACGTGTCACTTTGAAAATATCGCGTTGCTCTCCAGCCAGCAAAATCATCGTAAACGAGCTCGCGACTGGATGAAAAACTTTTTTTTTTAAGGGAAACCAATCGTTTACGCCTCGTAAATCATAATGTTCGTAAAATGTAAGTTTTCTTGCTGGCTGGGCCTCTAAAGTCACAAACACATACATATGTATGCCGTAAATGACGAGAAAAATTGTAGTAGAAAGTTAAATTCCCTAGTAGTTTTTTATACATGGCTCCTTTTCTTGTGTAATACGAAAATTTTGTTTATTAAATATTATTTTTTTTAATAACGTATTTACAGTCACACTCAGCAGAATGGATTCAGAATGATTTTCAACTCTAACTGGGGGTCACAATTCGACCAACCATACTGTCAATACCATTGGTTACATTTTTATGTTTTTCAAACTAATTAGAAAAAAATAAAATTCTATCGTTCATCAGAAAAGGTTCAATAAAAAAATTTTGTTATTAGGAAAATATTTGACAAGTTTTCAAATCAATTTCTACATATCGCTACCTAAATGTGTCAAGTTTTTTTTTAAATTTAGTTTTTGATGCAGAATGACAGGTAATACGAAACTAAATCGATTTATCGTCTCTCCTGAACAATTTAGAATATGGAATTGACACCTGTTCACCCATAGGTGACGATACATTATTTATCGGTTATTATTGGAAAAATTTACTGAAAAAAAATGTTTGAATCCAGAGTTTCAAAACGAGGCTAAACCGCGAAAAAACATAGTAAGAAAATGTGCCAAAAGCAAAATTTTATAATTAGGTAGATGAAAGATAACGCTAAATAGGGGCAACCATACAGCAGTATCTGTAGATTTTAAGAGGGCACTCTTGAACTCAATCGCAATTTTGCCTGGAACAGTGCATACAGTGTTAATTTTCTGACAAGTTTTTCTATTTTATAAACACTTTTGAAACAAGAGTTTCTAAAAATACTCTCTAGAAGAGCCACGCTGACCTTAGTGGTGGAAAATAATAACAGCATGCATTTTATTTTGCTGAGAGAAAGTTAAATGTTGAAGTTTTTGACGATTTAAGTTTGTGATTTTAGGATCTTTCTTTAAAGACGAGAAATCCTGGGCTGTATGACTAGATACCATCTTCATCTGGCCTTAACACAATGAAAAATTTTCAAGATGTTTTCCATCGGAAGTAATATTAGTGTGGTAGATAATACAAAGGCGAAAAGAGTTTTATTTCTCATTTTAAAAACGCGTAGCTTCTAATATCCTGGCACTTTATGAAGTTCCTTTAACAATCCATTTCTGAAGGAGGTTTATATAAAAGCCCAATAAAGTATGATGAGTACGCCACAAAACCAGAATCATTTATTATTACCCCCTAATTAGAAATTAGTTGCACTAGTTGGTAAATGATAAAATTTAATAATTTTCATTAATTTATTACAAAAAGAACCCACTGGTAGTGCCACAGTCTTTGACGTCTAATATATTCAGACGAGTTGTGGACAATTTAGTAGACGTACCAACCAGTTAAACCTATTCTGCTGAGTGGGACTATATATAATGCATTAAAAGTAATTTGTATTCATTGTCTCATAGTTTTATTAAAAATTAGCATCTGTTAGTTTTAAGACGGGAGAAAGCACGACTTATTGAATTTTCTGGGTTAAGATACAGCAATAGGCAATATTTATTTTTGAAAGGAAATCGAAGTAAGTCATGGGAAAAGCGGTGTAGCCTTGTAAATACTCAAAAATCGTAATAAATCTACCACGAGTGTAGTAAAGATCTAATCCTGTTACATAATGTATGGACTAAATTGGACTTAATTGCTTAATGGAACCGAAATGTACCGAAATATTATACATACATATGTATGTTTGAATCCAAAAATTAAACGTTATTTAGAATTGTGTATTTCCATTTCGTACACATTTTATTAATATTTGTACAAAATTTGTCTACATATATATACCTTGTGTTTTGATAACGAAAATATGTAAGTATGTGTATTGAAATTAGTTCAAAGTTATCAGGCATTCAGGAAAAAATTTGAAATTTAGGTAGGGATGTTTATGCATATTAACCTAAAAAAATTGTGAGAATTTACAAAACGATGATATAATTTTTATGTAAAAAATATATCTAAATTTTTACCATATCATATTTCAGAAGGATAGTACTGATCAATAATCTCTTCTTAAGTACGAATGAATGCGAAAATTTTTCATCTCTTTTTCTATGTACACAATTAAATTGGTAATTACATCACGGCAAACTATAATTTAATAAAGGATCGTCGTTGCCTAGAACATGTCATTGGAAACCACCACCATCGTCGCCACCAATCATTAATATTAAAATTATAATAATAAATGAACTGACATTTCTTTTCCGTTCTATAAAACTTAAATCTGTAAATGTTATTAATATTATTTTTAATATAATTATTGTAATTATAATTGTAATAACATGTGTTTGTATTGGAATTTTGTTTTGTTGTTTCATTTACTCCATTACGATTTTTACTACAGTCAGTGATAGTAGCAATATTAAAATTTATAAATTTACTACATTTTTTCCTACGATAGATTTTAGTATTACTATTAAAATACAATTTACTATTTAATCTATAAGTAATTTTCTTATTATTTCCTATATTCATCTGAACGTGTTTATACCTAACGGAGCCACAATACCCAGTATTACTAACATCTTTTTTATGTATTCTCTTTAATTCACTACATAGTTGGCTAATCGCATTTCCTTCCTTATTCACTATAAAATTTTCAATTTCATCTTCGAACAAGAGCCTACTTCGATTTCGATTCGCAATCTGGTTTTGGCTTCCTTTCATGTTCTTGTTTTTATTTTGTTTCCTACTTCGGCTAAAATGTTTCTCTACGCAACAATGTACGCGTCCGTCATTTTCGTGAGCGTAATGACGGATGCAATCACCTTCGTAAATACCTTTACTGAAGTACGAGCACACCGTAGATGTAGGAAAGGAGGTGGGCGCAAATTGGTTTGCAGTAGGAGCGATGCTTTTCAAGCTTTTCTTAGCTCTTCGTTCGATTGCAAGTTCTCCTGCACTTTTCACTTGTTTTAGGCAATCGCTTCCGTGCAGTACCTGGTAACTAGTTTCTTTTAGCACATAAACGGCTGTGTAATATTTGTGCAGGGTCTGCGATGACAATCTACTTTCATTCTCAGGCTTCGATCTATGGTTCACATATTTTCGAAGTTGCTTTTGATTTGGGTGCGTCTGATTTTTCAACTGTGCTGCAGCGTTTTGACTGGTCAAGAAGCAGAGCAATGCACTGAATAGCAGTAACATGTGGTGGCCAATCCTGTCGTTTGGTACTCTCTTTTGTAGTGTGCGGAGAGCCACCGAAGAGGACGCGTAGTACGGTATGGAACAGCGACTTGTCACCGACGGTACAGGTGGGCAATCGTCTGACATGGCTGTTTCAGGCATATCGGCCACGTCTTCATCATAATAATAGATACCATCATACACAGCATAGTATGGCAAGCGATCGATTTGACCGCCCACGGCTGTTTCGGAGCTATTACTTAGTGCAATTGATATACTAGCTGCAAGTTTATTCGCCGAGTCATTTGCCAATGATGCTTCTAAACGAGCATCCAGTCGGTACTGACTCGTTGCCGTTAGAGTAATATTGTGCAAGCGTCTTGCTGAATTTCCGACCGAAGCGCTCACATCTATTGCGTCTTGTACGAAATCACTGCAGTAGGCACAAATCCCTTCCGCAATGTTATTGCAATAGCTATAGCAGCATTCCGCGGGTCCATAGCTCGATTTACGCAATTGTTCGCCGGTTTCTGGTATGCTTTGATCTAAAGGACATAAAGTACTCTGAGAGTCAGTATAATTGCAGACTAACATAGTACTCTATACTCACCCAAGCAAAGGAATGTTGGTTCACCAGCATATTGTGTTGGCAGCGCTGGAGCTCGATCAGCTGGAAGCAGATAAGGGCACTTCTGCTCTACAGTTTGGCAGACTCTTAGGCAGGGTCGTATTCTTCTTCGCTTCCGAAATTGCACCTTTCGTTTGGATCTGGATATAAGAAAAGAAAATATGGAAACTCAGTAATTGTGGTCAGTTTTTGTCTTTCGGCAATTAAATGCATGCATAATATGTATTTGTATGTATGTATGTATGCCATTATTCAACATATAATAATAACTCACTAAAGAATCTCAAAAGATTCGCAAAACACATTATTTGCTCAAGTAGCACACTGGTGTATAAATTGGTGTAAATTTATGGATTTTGGTACAAATCTGATTAGATTGAATAAAAAAAGAACATTTTGGTGTATTTGTTATTCCACCAGTATTTCTTTCAAATCAAAATTCTACCTTTAACATTTTGGTACTATTTATTCATTGAGATAAGTACGAAAACTACACCAGCTCCTAAAATGCGCCACTTTTTACATTTGGTACACAAATAGCTCCACGTTAACAAATGTCGTTAAAATTATTCAGGCGACATTCTGAGTAGTGATGTGCTGAATTCTCGGTACCCAATACTTGAAACAAATTTCGGTACCCAATACTTCCTTTTCGGTACCTTTCGTCATTATATCTGTGCCGTTCAATTAAAGTAGCTTAAGTCACTTTAGATGGTTTGACTTTGAATTAAAAAAAAAATCAGTTTCCTTTGAAATTGTTTTATATTTTAATTAAGATTCTATTATAGGGGCATCTTGAACTACATCTTTGGCTAGTTAAACGTTAAAATATTGTTTGGAAATCCAATGAAATACGACATAGGCTACTTTTGGGGGTAAAAATTATTGATATTTTATAAGACATCGCCTAAAAACCCAAAATGTACAAATAAGACGGTCCTTTCTCAAGAGATGAGCAATGTGTTTGTATGTATGTAGTTAAGTGAAACAAAGTATAATGTGTGCGTCGAACAAGGCAGGCAATTAAATCTGCACAATAATGATCAAGGCGAATTTAATAAGGTGGTGTTAGCCGTATATAAGTAAAAAATTACACTAACAAATTATACGCAGATATTCATACTGTCATTAGTAAGAACTACAACAAACACGTAATTTTGATGTAATGTCCTCCACGGCGAAAAATTCAGATACGCCGGTAACACCACCTTATTAAATTCGCCCTGATACTGATGTCGCAAAACACACTCTCGCCTTCTTTTACTTATCGCAACCGTCTTTCCAATTGCAATAGTTCTGGTGGCAATATTATTTATTTTTAATAGCTGACACTATATGTATGTGTACATATAACTCATATTTTTGGCTGTTGCGCGCTTTTATTAGAAATTCCAAGATTTCGGTACCGAGCATCGAAAGTATTTGATACTTTTTAAATCGGTACCGAGTATCGATCAATACTTAAAAGTAGCGACTCAGCACATCACAAATTCTGAGAGCAATTGACAGTGGACCAAAGAATTCACCAAAAAATGAATATTGAATACACCACACAGTAGCTTTGTTTCTTTACAGATAGGCGCATTTACACAAGGTAGTGTTAGCCGAATATGTAAAGTAAAGTAAAAAATTACAAAAGCAAATTACAAGAAACACATAATTTTCACGTTATGCGGTGAAAAATTCAGCTGTTGCTCCAACATTAGAGAGATTAGGCACAGCTACTTTGATTTGCTTCTTTTACATATTTTTGTATTTTTTGATAAAAATGGGCGATTTATTAAATTTGATAAAGTGTGGCAAAACCTGAGTATTTGTGAACAATTTTTAAACATAAAATGCGATTAAAAATTCGCAGCAAATACATATGTTCAGTTGTCAAAAGCATCGGTCAGGTGTTTACTAGCTAGTTTCTGCTAGTTTGCGTTTCTTGACTTTTTCTATATTTCACTCGCTGTGAGCGTAATTCTGTAATTCTTCCCATTCTTCTTCCTGATAATGATCTGCTAGGAAAGTAAAGAAACAAAGCTAGTGTGTGTGTACATAATACACTGCCTGTTTTAATATGAGCTTATTATACATCCCACAAGTAGAGCTGCTATCAGTGTTGCCGTTTTGATAAATTGGTAGTTTCATTTCAGGGCTGTTCTGGTTTCGTTCGAAATTGATTTCTCATCGATTTGGATTTCCGATTCCAAATTTTAAAGATGTTTTGCAATCCTATCAAAGTTTTGAAGTTATAATAGAAAATAAATCCTATTCGAAATGTCAAAAATGCATTGAACTGTTGTTGCATAGTATTCGTTTATTAGAACATTTGTAAAAATTTTAAATAAATTTTGTCGAATGGCGGTAATATAATGGTGATGTCAAAGTAGAAAAGCGTACTGAAAGCGTGCTAAAATGGCCTAAAACTCGTACCGAAATATTAAGATTATGTTGCTGACATTCCGTAATTTTATTGCATCATGGTTAAATGAAAACAAATAAATAAAAATAAAATTGCGCGAGCACAGTAATACATTTTTTTTGTTACCAAATATAAAATGTTTATATCGATTGTATTTTTTTACATTTTAGACATAAAATAATTTATATAAATTGAATTAATCTCAAAGATTCATACTTATGCATGAAGTAAAATCAGAAACGAAATAAAATATCAATATCTGATGATTAAAAAAAATTGGTAGTTTGGAAACTGATTTGGTAGGATTTTTTGTTCCTAAAAATATTGTCGAGTGGTAACACTGGTTGGTATATTTAATACACCAGTGGTGAAATATGCATCAATAAGGCACCCCTACACGCTCAAAGTTTGTTTGGGTACTAATGATTCAACATCATGCCTTCACAAATGCAGCTATAAGTTGCATAGTATATATAAGTACGAACAACAGGGAGAATTTTTTCTACATAACATAGGCGAACGCTGATTTGATTTCTTCTTTTCGTACGCGAACGTTAACAAAACATGTTGAAATGTATACGTTCGCGTTTGCGTTCGAATAATGGACGTGTGGTAGGCGCTTAAACTTCTGTCAACTGTGTTCATTTGGCAAGAAACATTTTTTATACCAAATTCTCAAACTGAATTGTGTCTAGGGCAAAATAAATACACCGTTCTTGGCTTGGTAAATATTTTTGTACCAAACTCAATAATCGGTGTAAGTTTTCAACGACGACCATATTTTCAAAGTATTATAAAAGTAAGGCTAAGTTCACAACCTAGAGTAATAGCGTTACGCGATGCAATGGAAATCGCTCAATCCAAAGAAACTTCTTCGCCAGCATAATCGCTGGCGATTAAAAAGTAGCTAGTGTTTAAATTGCAGCAAAATTATACACGACTAATTTTTTATAATAGGGGAGTTTACGATGAGTAGCATTTTAGATTTAAAGTTGCTACGTACCAATCTAGCACATATTTTGATGTTGGGAAAGCAACAAAACGTGTGATACATTGCTACGTAGGGATTCCCCTAATATATTTTTTTTGTTTCCACAACCCTTTGACAATTTATACCGAAACTTAAGCATATTGTATTGTATATAATAGCAGTAGAAGAGATGTTTAATTTATTTTATAAATATGTACATATGTATACTTTTTATTTATTTGGGCTTTAAGTATTAGAAAAAGCTTTTTTTAACAAACTGCATACTTTTTATTTGCTTGCACAGCGATAAACACCAAAGACTGTGTAAATGTTGGTTAGAAGCGATTTTTATGTATTCTCGCTACGCTAATACGTTAGGTTGTAAACTTAGCCTAATACTGAAACTCAGCTGGACGCCATATTAAAGCTGTATGACTATTATTTAACTAATTTAACAATTTCATTATGTACATTGGCTCAACTATGCCACTTTATGTGTATTTCCGAACCTTTTTTAAACAGCGCATCTCTTAAAAATTTAATAATGGCGAAAAATTCATTGCTTTCAAAATATAAGTTTTTCCAGATTTATTTAAAAATTATCAAATCCTTATAAATTTTGAGGCGCTCGAGTTTTAGAGGGGGTAGTACCGAAATTCACTCGACAGAATGTACCTCGTTTTTAAATTAGGTACTCACATTCATATATATTCGCGATTTTCTTGCCTGCATATTACGAAAAGGAATGCTGAGATTTATAAAAAGACTTCCAAGTCGCGCAGATTAAAAAAGAGCTTCGGTGTAAATTTTATGTCTGAGTTAATTTTAAATTTGATTAGTAGTAAATTTTATTCCTCGAATCCTTTTGTACTCTTCACACTCATGAAAATATATTTATGCTAGAATATGGTGTAAATTCTTTACCATTATGGTGTATGATTTGAGCCAATACCAATACGTATTTTACACCAACGGAGTTTATATTATGTTCTAGAAATAAGAAAACTTGTGTACCACTAGCATAATATATATGCCGAAAATCAGTAAAAAAAAATTACGGTAAGTGTAAATAATGCACGAAAAAGCGGTATAACCTTTACACTGAAACGAAATAAACTGTTCAAAAACTGCGCTTAGAAATGGCATATTTTTTATATTGAAAATGTATATCACGCCGATGTAAAAAATACACAAAATATTTTGGTGTATATTTGACTTTTATGCTACTTGAGTGTATAATAAACTTGCTTATAAAACGAGCTTTTTAGTGCATAAAATTGCGAGGACAATATCTGGACATGACAGTTTTATACCAGAGCCCACTTGAAGGAAACCAGCCAGAAATACTTAGGTATATACAGGGTGTCCAATAAGTACCCCGAGAAACTTAAGGAGATAGGTAGGTAGGGGGTGACCTCCCAGATAAAAAAATGTCCCTTGTAAAGGGGTCATCGTTTTTAAATATTGATATTTTTTTCAAGAAGTTCAAAATCACAAATAGTCCGAGCCTATAATGGTTTCTTAATACCTTTAAACTGCATTGCATTTGAATATGACAAAGCAACTATCTGGAATTATTTTACAGAAAAAACACCCAACACAAACTCGACTATTCATCTGCTTCAGGTAGGTCGGTTAAAAAATACTGATCTATTGTGAATTATTGATGAGAAAGTGCTTAGGGAAATTTTTGTTTCCTTATATACATAATTACTTGTCGGCCGCTGTGGTGTAGTGGTAAGCAGTGCGCGCTTCCACTC